ATCTGTGGGTATTATTGACGGCTTTTGTGTACCTGCTGTGTGTTGATCTGTGGGTATTATTGACTGCCTCTGTGTACATGCTGTGTGTTGATCTGTGGGTATTATGGACTGCCTCTGTCTACCTGCTGTGTCTTGATCTGCAGATATGTCTGACTGCCTCTGTCTACCTGCTGTGTGTTGACCTGCTGAATTGCTGACTTCCTCTGTGTCCCTGTTGAACAGTGCTGGAGTGGGCCGCACTGGTGTCTTCATTGCCCTGGACCACCTGGTCCAACACGTGAGGGACCACGACTTTGTGGACGTGTACGGCCTAGTGGCGGAGCTGCGCAGTGAGCGCATGTGCATGGTGCAGAACCTGGTGAGGACCACGGCGCCACTCTCTTACTGTTTCTGTGGCGATGAGACGTCGTCCACAGCTGTTAGGCGGAATGGGGACTAAGAAACTACAGAAGCATATTGCAGGACTGGAGCAGCGCAGTAGTTTGGTATGAGATATAACACATGAGATATGCAGCACAGAGTCATCATACCTCCACTGCTGGCACAGTTCTTGAAGCACTGAAACCAGACAGGATGTGTATGTAATTACTATTTTTGTATCACCATGAAGAGCTTACACTGGGTCTCAGATGCATTAGTAATGACTCTGTCTAACGTGGAGGTCTCTGTTTACAAATTCTTTGATGGTTACAGTTACTAAAAATTAACACTTGTTGAATTTCAACCAGATTTGCTGCTCGTATTACAAACTTTACATGTGTTTTTAAGCCTGGTTCTAGTCCCTGCAGTGCTTTCAAAATGGTTATTTCAAAATTTCATCGGTTTGAAAAAACATACAGCTGTTAAACTGATGTCTCTGTATGAGTGCATACCCTCCCATGGACCAGCCAACTATCCAGGACATGTGGTCCCCTCTGTTTCCCCGGAGAACTGCAGATTATCTGGTTGTGGCGTGTTTAAAATACACTGTGTCCACTGCATTTTGCACAGGCGCAGTACATGTTCCTGCACCAGAGCACACTGGACCTCCTCTCAAGTAAAGGAAATAGCCAGTCAATCTGGTTTGTTAGCTATTCAGCCCTGGAAAAGATGGACTCTCTGGATGCTATGGAAGGTGAGCACAGGAAGGTCCCTCTTAATCCCCTTCATCTAACCCATGGCTGGGGGCGTGTCCCAATTGTCTGGGTAAAGGACACTTTGCTCATTTATAATTCAGTTGAATTTAGAGGATGTGCAACTGGTACATTTAACTCATCCTACTTTGGAATAATTTATGCTCTCTTAGCACCAAAGCCGTGAACTTAAGTGCTGTATATGTTTGATATAAATGTGTTATATTATAGCTACCTTTCTGTGTATAACCTTCTCTCTCCCCTCCTCAGGTGATGTTGAGCTTGAATGGGAGGAAACCACGATGTGAAGATCTCAATGATATGCAATCATCATGTTTCAGCATTCGCCTTGCAGAGGAGTTCAGAGACTCTGTATCTTTTGAACGCTAAAGCCAAATCCTTGTAAATAGACAACTGTGGAAAAAGCTATTTTCAGTGCTGTGGCTCTCACCAGAACACGAAGAACGACTTCCGCTTAGTCAGTATCTGAATAGTAAATGTATATAATGACCGCTTACAGTATCTATTTAAGCAAGCAAAGCTATCTTGCACTGACAAATCTCTCTTTATATGTGGTACTTCAGGTCGGGTTGCTGTTGCATATACCTGTGTGAGATACATGAAGCCAAAGCTGTATTTTGACAGTATGTTGTCGTTACGTACTATTGAATGTATTTGGTGTGTGTGATGTGTGTTTACGGTGGACATCGAACATTGGAGTGTTACTGCAAAGTACAGGCTTCTCCTGTGTTTCTTCAGTCCTCATTATTCATTTGAGCTTCCAGGGCGGATTACGGCACCCCCAGAAAACCTAGCCAGGACACCCTCCCCCCCCCCCCCCCCACCACCAAAACTGCTGAACACCGCAACTTTTGTCCAATGGTGGGGTAGCCCATGATTCCCCCCGACAGCTGAAGCATCACCCGCTTGACATGGGGGTAGATTTATCTGTGGAGAGAGAGCACCCCCCCATACAGACCTGGGGAGAGTCTGGAAGAGTTAGGCCACCAGGAAGTGTAACCAGCATACCGCCTTCCTGCTTCCTGCTGAGCTTAGCGTGACATGTTTGCACCTGCTGCCCCTACTGACAGCAACGCTTATTATCATCATTATCAGAATGATGGACACTTTGGGATCAATTACTGCATACAGTCAAAACAAACAAACAAACAAACAAACGCATAAATCCTAAATGACATCTTATTGTCAGCTGACAATATAAAAGATGCAATTTCAAATATTTTAATATATAAATATTCATACAGTCTCTCGTTTGAGACATACCATCATTTTGAGTGAAGTGCCATTGGCGTTAGACCCAGTGAGACTTGTTTTTAGTAAAGTCTTCAGACATAAATGCCCATAAATGACAACAGACGTAAAGGTAATTAGCACCTGACTTTTAACAAATGTCTTTCACCATGCTGAACCAGAAATCCCAGCATGCACCTAGCTCTTTTTTAATCATCTGTAACCCTAGCAGACTGCTTATCTTCTTGTAAAGAAACATCATTTTAATTATCTTATATGTATGCCACTTAATATGTATTTCACAATCATTTTGCATGACAAAGACTTTTAATTTTCACAATGCATTCCTACATAATGTGCATCAGTTTATGGATATAATGACAAATGATATCTGAATGTGATTTTTGACTGCAACAGGCCTTTTATTCATTTCCCAAAGCGATATGGGCTGTCCAGAGCGCACAGTCATTGTTACATAAGTGCACTCTCTGCCAGCCAATAGCCGAAGCCTCCTTTGACATGTGTGCTGCTTTTAAGGTGTTCCTGGTGAGGGCTCATTTGTCCTTGAGTGTCCTCATTCCTGCCTGGCACAAAGGGGACAAAAAGAAAGCGAGATCTGTACAGTGGACCTTGTGTGGAGAATGAGTTGGTCTCATCGGAGGGGTGGTGCATAGCTAAGCCGACAGGAAGAGTGCACATCCTCACAGGACGGCTGCCCGTCCCAGAAGTACCAAAGGAGCCCCAGATAAGGCTTTCCAGGCAGATAATGAGCTCGTACAGTTTATACGCCAGCATAATATAGCCATCATCTTGCCACAGGGGTTTTGGGGAAAACGGGTAAATTATGTATTTATTCTCAAACCCATTCCTGTTCAAGTAATCAGCTCACCGATTCTTGAAACTTTGGCAAAAACATGTCTCACTAAGAAACGTGCTCATTCTGTTGGAAATTAATAACATTTTCATGAATAAAAAGAATCAAGGTTATAATTAGGGAGTCCTTTGCACATATGTAAGATTCTTTTATAGGCTTATTTTTTATTTTTTTATTAATTTAATGATTATATGCTGGCCCATTGCCTACAAAATCAGTTGTCCTCAGACAGGGGATAATCATTTCAACTTGATTAAAAAAGCAAAAAGTAATAATTGAATTGAATAATATCTTTACCACATGAAAAAGTACATTGTAATATGTATTAAAAACTACAAACAGTGAGATTTGAACAATATTTACTATTACTTTGTGGTTGCTCAAAATGTGTCCCACATATTTGTCACCGAAGAGGTCTGAAGTAGCTAGCAACAGAGGGGAAACAAAATGGCTAATGTGAACAATTCAACAATTCATGCATATCATGTGAAATAGTAGGTTTCTGTCACCACTGTCAGACGTCACCACCGTCAGGTTTTCTGTCTGACGGTGGTGACAGAAACCTCCAAATGGTCCTCAATGGAGGCTAGAATATAATTGTTGATCACAATAAATACCAATATGACCTGCGATGTTTCATTAACCTCTTTTGTATTTTTTATTTATGTAATTCCCCCTATATTTCTTCCATATCGTCCAACCCCAGGGGATGAGGTGTGCCTTCCCTCTCTCTCTCAATTCACTATTATGCCATTTTCATTTGGCTTACATCATCCAACATTCACAACATTCCTCCATATTAGACCAAATAAATAAAAAATAATTTGCATCAGACAATCTGATGGTGTTGACAAAAACAAAGTAATAACTGAAAAAACACCTATTTTATGAACAAAAATACAAAATGAGGAGGCTGCACCGGTACATTGCTGAACAGCCAAGACCTTGGTCTATAATGATATACCTTCAGATTTTGTAATTTAAGCAACTTTTTATTTTCAGAACTAAAACCTGTTTTTTCCAAATTCCCAAGAATCAGTGAGCTTTCAAACCCATTATTTGTCCTGTACAACATGTCATTGTTACCCTGCTACACTATAGAAAGCTAGACCGACTAATCATTTATTATTATAAAAATAATAGGTATCAAACTGCCCTGTGATGCTGTGTTTGATAAGCCTTTGGTAGATGGATCCACGGCTGGATGGATGGATGGATGGATGGATGGAAGGGCATAACTTTGGGTTCTGAATTGGATGGGTTGAGGTCTCCACCCATTTAAGGGGGTCCAGGGGGTTGTATTGGCTGGTTTTGATTATTGAGGGGAGGGTTACAACCCCATCCCCCCACAATTTATACCCACGGATGGATGGATGGATGGATGGATTGATGTGATGGTTTGCATGTTCCCCCTATATGCATGAAGCTAGATGTGTAAGTGTGTGATGTGTATGTGTGTGTGTGTGTGTGTGTGTGTGTGTGACACGTGTGTGTGTATGAGCGCGAGTGGGTATACCTTCCTTACCTTATGGGGATGCAATGTCCCCACAACGTGATGAATACCCATTTATTAACGAAATTTAATAAAAATCTGTGACTGCAATGAAAAAACTAAAAATGCAAAGACTCTTGTCTTTTGCTTGGTTACTTATGGTTATGGTTAGGGCTGGGTGGGGGTTAAGGATGTCATAGTTAGCGTTAGCATTTTTCCCATAGAAATGAAAGATATATTTGCCTGACATGTGCGCGCGTGTATGTGTGAGTGTGTGCAATGCCCTGTGCTTCTTGGGAGAGGTTCCAGTTCTCAAAGCAGCCACAGTATAGTTGGTTGGAAGATGGAGGGATGAATGGATGGATATTTCTTCTTATTTGTGCTGCATTTCTGTGGGCAAACTTACACTTTAAGCAGCCTTCTTACATTTTGAACATCTATGTCCCAGGTCAAAGGCTGCACTGCATTTGTGAGGGCAGCCTTTCATCTATGCCGGAGACTGAAACGGGAATTTGCCTTTAATCTATTTTTACTGCTCATGTGTGAGTTTTCGGTCCATTGCTGTGGGCACATTCCTGGCTATTTTCATTTTGAGTTCCTGTGTAGCTGTGAGCTACAGACAGCGCCATGTCGCCTTTTCATTAAATATGCCTTAATACAATAGCGAAAAAACACTGGTAGAATCTACTAACATTTAATTAATGCACAGACAAAAGCACGTAGCATGATGGTTAATTAAGGAGGCCAAAACTTCACTTCCTGTTGGTTGGAGTCCTGGGAAGCTGCTACTGTAGTTCACATAAATAAAGTATATATATATTTATATATTTATATAACAACTTCTCATCTATTATATAATCGCACATATTTCAATTGCAAGTGATAAATACCTTATTACGATTAGGCTTTAAAAGACAGACATCCGGAGACGCCAGATAACATCTGATGTGTCGCCTTCAGTTGAGAGGCGTTGACACAAACATATTTCTTGTGTGAAGCCGCCATTGAAAACAGAAGTTTGATGCACTGCGACAGCTAAACGTGGGGTACGATTTCACATGCTATATATATGCTCTGTGACTCGTGTCACTGGGCTATTTAAATGCCAACCTCAGATTTGTACTGTTGGATTGTCAGAACGGTAGGCCGCTGGAGGCTATAGCACCATGATGGACCTTTTCGAGACCAACGCGTACTTCTTCAATGATCTGCGCTTCCTCGGAGGAGATAATGGACCACTGCAGACCCTGGAAATGTCGGCCGAGTCTCCTCTGTACAGGACCAGCGACAGCCCCACGTCGCCAGGGCCGGATCGGGTTCCATCCGAGACCGGATGCGACAGCAGCGGTGAGGAGCACGTCCTGGCACCGCCAGGGCTGCAGCAGCACTGCGCTGGTCAGTGCCTCATCTGGGCCTGCAAGATCTGCAAGAGAAAGTCCGCCCCGACGGACAGGCGCAAGGCGGCCACGCTCCGCGAGAGGAGGCGTCTCAAGAAGATCAACGAAGCTTTTGAGGCTTTAAAGAAGAAGACTGTGCCCAATCCGACTCAGCGGCTGCCCAAAGTGGAGATTTTACGCAGCGCTATCAATTACATTGAGAAACTACAGGACCTGTTGCGGTCGCTGGATGAGCAGGAGAAAATACAGGCAAATGGTCCATTGCATTATAACACAAAAGACCAACATGTAAGCATTTTAAAAATACTAATGCTATCTTAACACCCATAATGTAGTAACAAAATGTAGTATAATTCTCGAAACACGTTTACTCTAAATATTGACGTACAGGACGCAGCAGGCGTTATATGATGGCGATTTCTGCTTCTAGGTGCCAAGCACAGAGCACTTCGGGAGTAAGACGTATCGTATCTGGCCGAACATTACCGATCATTCCAGTGTTCCCGTGATGAATCAAAGGGAAGGTCTGTATTGCATTTCTGTATGTCACAGCTAAAATTATACATTAGCGAAAGTCACTGCTAATTAACCTGGTCTGACTTATTATTTTAACAAAGCACGCTTTCCCCCCGCGGTCCTAACGATGACTGTTTATTTTTTTTATCCTCACTTGGAAATAGGAGTTGCGGAGTCCTCGGCATCAAGCAGTCTTCGCCGCCTCTCCTCTATCGTGGACAGTATTTCAAACGAAGAACCAGCGGCGATTTATAGCGAAGGAGCCGCACAAAAGTAGACGGCGTGCAACGAGAGACAGTTAAATTTCCGTTGTCTTATTTATTTCTACTTCTTATGAATAACCTTCGCTAATATTGGTATAAAATAATATATTTATTTTTACTATTTCAGGGCACCTTTAACTCGCGGAAACATTATTCCTGGAAAAGTGTTTTTGTAATAATTTTTATAGTAGCATTTTTATTCCCCGAATGACACAAGTTGTTCAGACTTTAAGTGTCATATTTCACTGATATGAAAGTGCGTTTATAACCAGTGTAAATTGTGTTATACATGTTTTATAATTAATTATCAGATTAAGTTATTTTGTATTTAACGAGTCTAAATAAAAATATTGTGAATGTAGCATATTCTGCGAATTATAACGGCAAGGTTTGCACTTGCAAACAGTATCTCACAAATGAGACTTCAGGTATCTAAACTCTTTAAATAATACGTTTGGGGTATAAAAATAGTAAATAGTATTTTACTAAAATTAATATTCTTCACGTGATGCTTCTTTGTTATAACATGAAATGCATTTGTGGTTATTTGTATTGTAATGGATATACCACCAACAATAAGGTTAACAGTGTCATTTTGTACACTTAATCCTACAGGCTGAATTAATCCATAATCATGTTGGCTATGCAAATATAGGTGTTTATTTTATGATGATAATATATGCAGGCTATCGATCTGCTTGCTGTCTCTTTTTCTTTAGAGAAAGAGACAAGCTGCTATTACGATTAGCCAAGGCCGCGAGGAGATCCCTACTGTTAATATACGTCTATTAAAAGAAGTGTTAAGTGACACTGGGACCAGAACAGCTTTGGCTCTGTTTTTAAGCTGAAGCGAGAACTTCCTTCCACTGTCGCCAATGTAGTCATTTCTAAACTGCGAAGGGCCCTATTCTCGCCCAATCGGATACCGAGGAACGAGATAAGCCTCGCCCCCCCCACCACACAGCAAAAGTCATTCATGGCATTGCGTTGTGCTTTTGGGCCAACTCTGCTCATTCTGCCACAGACCAGCAGAGCTGTAGCGTCGGGTGCCAAGGTACGGTCACATGCGCAAAATCACTCCAAAGCCAGATTTACCTTTAAAGAGTAGCATCTGTTAAAAAAAAAAAAAGTGCATGAAGAAATGTCACGTCACTGTGGTCTGTCATACGCTCAGTCATTTTGCCCTGGTGGCTGATTACCTCTGACTTCACCAGGCTGAAATAGGCCCTGACAGGCTAGCCCCATTGTCCCTCATCTGCTCTACAAACAACCGACCCAGTCAGCAGGGGGCGACACACCTAGCAGAGTGGGAAAGGAGGCAGAGGACAGCTTCCTGTGTCCTTGGAGAAGGTCAGCGGGAAGGGAGTAAACAGTGAGCCTCACACAGCCAAATTCACCATTGATCACCATCTGAAATGAAGTGCTATTTGTCTGTGTCTCAGATTTTGAAGAGATCTTTCCCTAGAGAAAATAGCAAATTTAAAATCAGCTTTTGGCTAACTTGCTAAGAGTTTGATCAAAAGATTTTCCTCTGAAATATCCGCACCATTTACAATTACTGGAAAATGTCAAGGACAGCACAAACATTCTCATACACTAGCACTAGTCTTCAGCAAGCATTGGCCAGCCTCCTCATTTTACGCCCTGGTACAATAGCGGCAGGGAGCCAGATCGTCCGGGTTTGACAAACGCGGAGGAGAACTGCCCACCAACTCTAAAATCTTGCCCGAATAGCCAGACAAAGCAGTCACACGCTATCATCTTTCCTGTTTGATATGATGAGATATGATGCCTGATAAATTATATGGTCTTATAAACCCGCACACTTCAAAGTGAGTCCACGTTCCCTCTCAGCGCCGAGACTCCATCGGCACTCCTGCTAGAATGGACTGAAACTGGATATCATGGCCCATAATGTCCTTTTAATGAGTGGGTCTCAGACGTGTGTTTGGGCAAACCCCCCCCCCCAACCCCCGACTCCCAGAACTGGTGGGGTTTTCCTCCATAACTAACATTGTGGTCAGGCTTCTTTTTCTTTCTTTCTTTCTGTCTTTCTTTTTCTTTCTTTCTCATCGTAGATGTCTTAGCAGATGCTGTGGTTGTGTGTGCTGTTATTGCAGATCGCTGTATTGCCAAAGCTGCCTGTCAGACATGGATGTGATTCGCATTTCCCCATGCGTTTTCCACGTGAACACCCCCAGCGTTAAATTCACACTGCAGGGCTGGCTGTGACTGTGTATGTCATTTTTTTTTTTTTGGGGGGGGGGGGGGGCGTAGGTGGGGGTGACAAGGGCAGTGTTGGCTATAATGGTAATGTTATCAACATTAACTCAATTGAATGCTTTGGTGAAACTGATCTGTTTAGTTTATGACCTTGAGGTCATTGGGGTCTTTTATTTACACATGCAAACGACAAGGTTTTATATTTTATTTTACTTACTAACTGGTTTTATTCCATATTTTTTTTCTCAAATGCTGGGATTGTAGTTGTTCTAGTTGTATGGTGCCACATAATAGCCTATAACAAAGCAAATTAAAAGACTGATTTGGTTTCACACATTATGGTAATGATTTTGTAATACTGGTAATGCTTAAAATTATATGTACCTGAAATTTTTATCCTAATGATTACAATTTAAAACTTAACTCAGATGTATACATTCATCTGTAAAAAGTACAATAAGACACCCTTTCTAAATGTTTCAGCGTCAGAAAGGATTTGGTAAGTTAACCAGGAACTGAAAGAACAATGCGTTACAGATCCACCAATAAAACAATGTTCACGTTTCAGCTGGAAGTAAATTTAACTACCTTGCCAGACAAATGCTGTTGCCAATCATAAAATTCAAATATGTAATGTGATTTCTTGCATACCTTGCCAAGAAAGGTTTAACTGCAGTATGAAAAAACAATGACTGCAGAGTATGTTATACTATTTAGACAACTAACAACTACAAAGTACAGGGTGGGAGAGAGTTTCAGTACCTCTGAGAATAGACAATAAAGTGTCCCTTTGCGCAACACTTAACCCACCTCCTGACCCGTGGCAACGTCTGAAAGGAGAGTTTTAAACAACCCTCTGTGTTCCCAAGAGTAGAAATAATCTTTCTTGGTCACAAAAACAAAGGTTTTTCGAGAAACTTGTATATTCTATTATGTATATTCTAATATTATACGCGAACCGTTTATGTTGCATGTTTATAATTTTTTTAATTATTATTTGTCTACTTCATGGAATTCACAAGAGAATACGTTTATTTATCCTCCTGAGACCCAGGGGAAAAAAGTGTCCTTCAATTTTAGGTTGTCTTTGAAGGAAATAAGACATCTTACAATTTAGATTTTTTCAAATTTATTTTTATTGTTAATTTCACAGCATGTCCTCTTTAGTGCACAACAGGCATAAATACGTTTCCTAACATCAGCGAAAAGATAGATGCAAAAATAAAATGTCCACTGCAATGGACATAAATGAATGGGTGGGGTCTCAGGAGGTTACAATAAAGAGGATGAGTAAGGCGTCGACAGAAAGCGCCTGATGCCATATGTCGGCGTAAACTCAATTAGCTTTAATTATGGGCCAGGTTTTCTCATTGTTCCAGTCGTTCACAGTCAATCGCCTTTGATCTCTCCGGCTCTGCATTAGCTGCGATCACAGCAATGTCTTCTTCAGCTGTCCGATTCGCAAACCCCGACAGCAATTCAGTGGCAGGTACCGCAATGTTTTCTTAGGTGTCCGCGGTTCCCAGAGCTGCAAGCTGCCAAACGTTTTAACACGTTGCGAGAAATATCCGCAATGTATACTTGCGGGCTGTCAACGCACTAAGCTGATAATTACTTCGCCAAACTAAACACAGGACATGTATTGAGATGATTATATTAGATTGATTTTTAAAATTATATTACAGTAACGAAATCATTGCTCCATTTGTTATCACTGGGTGCAAACATGTCATCGGTTCAATGGCCTGTTTCTATTGAAAAATCACCTGCGATTTTCTGCATTTGATGCTTGATGTTTTCTGTGTGACGATATATTTAATAAGTAGCTTAGTACATATTTACTTATTTGTGTGTATTATGTTTCCTGCAACTATAGCTCTGCAAAGAGCTTAATCGCGTTTGCACTAGGTTGTTAATTGTTTTATAACTAATTTAATGAGCTGTAACTGAGAGAAAGTACTACCGAAACAACTGGGTACAACACCTTCAATGACCGGGTAGGAAAGTCTGGAAGAGTTGGAGGTGAAGTGAGAATTTCCAAAGTTTGAAATTTTACACTTTCCTTTGCAGCTGGGTTGCATCTGTAACGCTGCGATTGGTCTCGACCATAAAATTAGCACTCCGTGAAACACCGAGGAAAGGAGCTCTTTATTGTTGTGTTAGAGGGAAAATGGCAAAAACAGGTTATCCTGGTGATATTTAAGTAGCACACTCAATATTTAACATCAGTGACACGAATTATACTCTGCATTAATTATTGTATTACAGTTCTCAGTAGCGCTCTTGCCTCATGGGAATAACACCGAAAACAATCTAACTAGCTTGTTTCTACAGTGCCTCAATACTGTTTGGCAGGTCTTGTGTATATTTTAACGCTATTTTTTAACACTCAATGACTTTTAACCTGGGTCTACCATTTTTTACTCTGGAAATTTTTCTTTATGTAGTTTGCATCATTCTGCAAGCCGGTGAATAAACTACATGTAATAATGCATGTGCACTTGGGAGGTGCAGCCAAATGAACCCAGAGTGGGTAAACACCAGGGAATGCAGATGTACAGCCCTGTGGGGTGTCCTGGTTGGGCGGCTGGGCGGGGGCAACTGGGCTCACCCTTGGTGTGGTCAGGGGGATATGGTAATTAGATCTGGCCAATGTGGGTCTGTGTCTCCACAGTGAGGCTTATAAGGGGCCACATGGCAGCCCCTTCATACCAGTCACCCCGCACAGAGACTCCCGTATCTTCTCGCCAGCTGATCTCCTTGTCACTCTCGCTCTCGTTCCACCAGACATGGAGGTCCCAGAGGCCTGTCGCTTCTCGCCATCCGAGGCTTTCTACGACGGTGGCTGCTCATCCTCACCGGAAGGCCCAGACTTCCCGGAAGGCTTCGGTCTCGGGGAACTGCCGGGCTCGGACGAGGAGGAGCACGTGCGGGCACCCCACGGCCACCACCAGGCCGGCCACTGCCTGGCGTGGGCCTGCAAGGCGTGCAAACGCAAATCTAGCACGGTGGACCGCAGGAAGGCCGCCACTATGCGCGAGAGGCGGCGGCTGAAGAAGGTCAACCACGCCTTCGAGACTCTGCGCCGCTGCACCTCCACCAACCCCAACCAGAGGCTCCCCAAGGTGGAGATCTTACGCAACGCTATCCAGTACATCGAGAGCCTGCAGGAGCTGCTCCGTGAGCAGGTGGAATGCTTCTACAGCCTGCCGGAGGAGAGCGGCTCTGAACCAGGCAGCCCCACGTCCAGCTGCTCAGATGGCTTGGTAAGTCCACAGCTGCCGCCCCGAACTGCCGCCTCACGGCGTCAGCTACCGTCAATATCTTGGCCAGTGCTCTTGGTTTTCAGTTTCCTGTCTGGTTCTTAAGATGGGTGTATATCTGGCCCTTATCTGCACCAATCTCTGCATAGCCTGCTGCTGTATTTCAGTATCAGCCTACACTGTTACCTCCTCAGTTTCTTTCTGTCTAGACTTCTAGCGCGTCAAAAATCTCTTTTCAGATCATAATGTTCGTGACCCTTACCTACCCATCCACAGTATTTTTATTTACTTTACCTCTGTATGATTACCTGTTTTGAAATTCTTGCCTAGTCATACTGCTATTTTTCATGCCCATTTCACCCTATTTAGTATGAATAACCTCTTAGTAAACAAACTTTAAAATGGATGATGGATTCGTACCTCTCACTAGGTGATGAAGCGCTACCTTGTTGTGTATTCGTTATGTAAGTCATACGCACTTTACATTTAATTCTTACTGAACACGCTAACTTGCTTTTAATAAAAATAGTAAAAATGTAAAGCTGTTGAAATTACAAGCAGACTGCTATTAAATATATAAAGCGATCACTTTATTTAACATGTTGTGCATCTAGAGATATGGAGGGGGTTAAAAGGATTCATGTAATATTATATTTTCCCCAAATAATCATTTGGGGCCAAACAAACGCTGGGAAATCCGGCACTGTGGTGGCTGTAGGGCTGCATTCTTAGTTGAGTATGATTCCTGCCCAGACTTTGCCAGGATTTTCCGCAGATTTTCCCTGGGAAAGTGTCGTCTTGCGAAACTTCCACTTGTAACTTCCACTGGCGCAATCGATTCGCCGCGGCTAATGCGATGCGTACCGTGGTCATCGCCTAAAACTTTCACTGAGAGTCACCTTGCTAGGGACCCTCTTACTCATAAGAGAGCCAACTTTTGATTCAAACTTAATGACCTGATTTAAAAGCCGGATTAGTTTTCTGGTTTCGTCAGAATGCGTAATACTGGAAAAAATTATTCCAAAAATGGGAAAACAATATTTGTTTCATGCATAATTTCCTGCTGATTATATGTGCATGAAGGTAACATGCTGTGTTTTGTTTGTTCTAGGTTGGCTGTAACAGCCCTGTTTGGCCTTTCATTAATAAAAGCTATGGGAATATGTACAACCACCAAATATTCACTGGTAAGGCTTTTACCTTGGTATATCTCAATATGAGTACATTCAGAAGGGAAAAATGGTTAAAATTAAGTGCATGAATCTGATTCTGACTTTTGATAATTGACTAATACATAATATTTTTTTACCGTTTTATATGAATAATGGGCATTTAGTTCATTTAGATCTGGACTAAGTAAAATAGCTAGGCCTATAGGGCCTATATTAATAAATACAGTAATAATTTTACATAAAGCTATTACCAAATAATGACTTCATGAATAAAAATGAACAAATGCAGTGGTATGCTAACCTTGCAAATACACTTCAAGCACGTATTTCACATTTTGCCATTTTTTATTAAACCCGAGCTAAGACTTAGCTTAGCATCTTAACCCTTATCTGTAGCCCTCCAATCAGAGGCCCTGACCTGACTGCTCAGTGAAGCTTTACTTTGAACATTGTGCATGCAGTGAGCACCAAGGAGAGGAGTCCAGGAGCATCCAGCCTGCAGTGCCTGTCCAGCATCGTAGACCGCCTGTCATCGGTTGACGCCAGCAGCCTAGCAGTAGCTAACGACTTGGCCAGATTCTCGCCATCCAGCTCCGACTCCCAGCCTAGCACTCCGGAAGCCGCCCGCGCCAGTCCCGTCTACCACGTGCTGTAAAGTACCCGCCCAGCTCCGCAAAGCATATTTATAATATATTTACTTTTTATTTTTTTTCTTGGGGATGGGGGATGAAATTTGTTCTTTTCTAAATCTGGGTATGTGAAATTAGAATGGCACAAGGACTTGTACATAAGCATTGTAAATGTCACATTTATTATGTTCTTTTTATACTTTGTAATGTAACATATTTAATTGAACGTCTAAAATGAAATAAAATATAAATAAACTGTATTTAGGTAAACAGATTGTTCAGTTTTGTTTCTTCAAAATCCCATTTGTCTGCAAACAACATATCCGTGCGTGTGCACATGTTTTCACGAAACGTTCTCTCATTAATATTTGACCATGATTAACTTCAATGTCATTGATGATGAATAGGGTTTAAAACGTGACACCGCTAAAATATCTTCACTAAACTGCGCCCTTGCTGTTTTTTTTTCCTGGACCAAATGCTGCAAGACTTTTGAGATCACTGCCATGAACAAATGGCCAAATTGTAACACTTCATGTTTGTTAGGGCAGGCGAGGACAAAAATCGGGCCATTATAGGGGGGGAGTGTAGAACTCTAAGAAATATTAAGACATAATTATAATAAGTCATTTTGACAGCAAATAAGTAAAGATTAATGAATGTAAGTCTCAACAAAAAATTAGAAATATTTCTGGACGGATGTAAGTTTTTTTATAAATTGCACGTTTCTCCCAGACGTGCTTCCCTGCGTTTTATCCTTACACCCCCATTACCCCTTGGGCTGGAGACGTCGGAAGTCGCTTTTATTGTGCACATTTGTCTTATTTTTCACCAATGCTGGCGCGATAAGAAACGGAATAATTCAGCAGCCCCCAAGACAAATCTCTGCGCTCACAAAAGTCATTGACTTTTACCAAATGCTTAAGCATGTAAGGCAATGCCAAGGTACGTATAGTAAACGCCGAAATAATACAAAAACAGACACAGACCCGATAAGGTACTTGTGTGATTCGTTATAAATAATTGAGATTGTATTGCATAATATTTCCGTTGTATTTATGTACCATTCAGATACATTTCACTTGAACAGCTTTAAACTACAAGTACCTTTTTAATTGATTAATGCTATCAAGCCTTTAGTTAACAATATAGTTAGTAGTATTAGATCCTAAACTAGTTTCCTAAACAAGGGGCAGCCTTCTTCCATACTAAATAAATCATCTGGATGGGTGTCCCCAACAATTGAAGTAAAATGTAAAACCGTAGCCTCGAACATTAATTTTATTGCCCGTCAGAAGGCACTGTACACTAGTTGGTTGTTGTAGTAAGAACAAAAGAAATTAATTTATTAAGTCCATTAATGTTACCCTATAATTAGTGAGCGGGTGGTTAGAAAATCATGTGCATTGTGTTTTATGATACGACTCACGAGTAGATGAAGATGCATTGACAAGTGCTGTGTACATATTTAAAAAAATGCTGTGTTAAACAGCGAAGATGGGTGACAGGTAGCGTGGTGCCAGAGTAAAATTACGGGTTTGTCCCCCCCACCACCTCTGAAATGCGTATGATTCTGACCAAGGACGTAGCCAAGGAGTAAAATGGCGAGTCTGAACTTGCCCCATACCTCCAAAATTCATTTCTGGCTTGGTATGGTGTTATGGAAATGTACTCGGTAGGGAGGTCCTTGAGAAAACGAAACTCACACTAGTTATAATTTAGTTTAGATATGGTTAAAAATCCTTAGTAAGCCTTGGCTTCAGGTAAATTAATATGGTCAAAAATCGTGAAATGAATATGACTAAAATCGTTATATAGTAACCTTGGCTTCAGATACATTAATGTCATGCATTATGCTTCATGACATTATTTTAACGACCCAATTTTCTGTGCCTTGTGCAGCTTGAGATGCTGAAACCTTCTTGTAAGTGTTTAACATTCACGGCCTGTCTATCTGAGTATTGGATTTTGCCGTCCAAATCATTTTATTTCCAAATCTATTCCAGTCACCGCCATCAAACATCAACGGGCATTCCAGTAACTTAATTTTTGCACCGATATTTTTATTCAAATTCATTAGTGTCATGTGTATTTCACACTGACAGTATAACGCGGAGTTGCAGAGTAGCAAAATAATGGCTGCCCAATCAATCATGAATAAAATTTTCAATATGGACAAACCAAGTCCTTGGACCTGAATACTGACGCCTGAACAGGGTTCGAGTCGTTTCAGCGAGACAGAAAAAAATTTAATTAGAAAAAAGCTATTTGGCCCCCGTCGGGTCCGCTTTCAAACTAGTTGTAAGAAATTATGCACATTTGTAGGATTCGTTATAATTTATGTTAGTGAAAAATGTCATAAGCCTGTATCAGTTTAATTTTATACGTCACTCTCCTAAACCTGTTCCTATAATTTTATCTGACCTCAGGTATTATATAAGCTGGCACGTGGGTGACACAGATTTTTCGGCCGCTAGGTGGAGCCCGTTATTCAGCCCAGCCCCGTCTTTCATATGTCATGCGTGTATTTACCTATGACCAGCAATACCACAAACTGGTCTTAGATCTGTCGCATAGAATGGAATACAATATTAACTCAAAATGTATTTTTGTAGGAAAACGTCTGTAAGTATTCCTTTGGTAGTTTTTTAGGAGGACACTGTTTTTTTTTCTTTCTGGCGTATATTAGTCCTCTTTTCGTAGTACTCACACAAAACCTCTTTCGTTTAGGTTTTGTGTAACCCTTTGGCTGACTGATAAAACCGCGTCTTGTTTGAGTTCAAACTGAGATGTTCTGCAGCTATCTAGCTCGACGCAGATGAAGTGTTATATGTCAGTTTTCAGGTTTAATTAGCTGTGAAAATCAGTGATTAAATTATGCATTTTTAAATCAAGTCATGTATTTCTCTTGAACTTTTCATATTAAATGTATAATACATTTTAACATAATTAGTCTGTGCAGTATTAACGATCTGAATACTTAGTATTTGCCATCACATAGTATGTCTTGAACAAAGTGTGCGAAATATTTGAATAATATAATTAATAATTATTAAAGAGCAACCGTTGGACACTCAGAAAAACTTGGTGCAAGGAAGCATTCGGCCACTTTTTGTCAGCGTTTGTTTTCAGATATGTCAGTCAGCCTTGGCAAATTATTTTTATTTTAAATGATGGTGACAGGCAGATCTGTTCTTATTACTAAGATTTTTTTCTAAGAGCTTTTAAAATAAAATGACTCAACCAGTGTGGATCAGTTTCTTGGTCTCTGGTACAGAACTAAATGTAATTAAGTACTGTGACCTAAGAATATTAATAATATTATGTACATCTAAGTGTAAGTGTGTATGTTTACCTTGTTCTGATGGGTGACTCCTGAAAATCATTTTTGCAGAATTTAAGCGATGTAGGAAGAATATTTCTAAGAGACACTTTGGTCTCAGACTGAGGATCCTTCCAACTTGGAGATTTAGAGGATCCTATTCCCACTGTTGACCACACCCCCTGCTTAGATTCAACCAGTGTGCCCCCTTGAGGTGAATAGGAGAAAGACACAGGCTGGGCCTTGACTGCTTTGGATGGCCCAGTGGAGGGTACATACAGTAGCAGGGGTGGGGAACCTAATCCATGGAGGCCCGATGCCAGTTTCTGGGGTGAATAATAAAACAGTGGTTCTCAACTCCAGTCCTGGGGACCCACTGTGATTGGCTGATTGAGAGGTCATCCCAAAAACCTGCACCCACAGCGGCCCTCCATGGAACAGGTTCCCCACCCCTGGTATAGGAAGCCAGGTGGAGCACTGTGCCCCCAGTGCTGTAGCCTCTTTGCTGAAGGAGGTGGTACAGTGCAGAAGATCATAGTTCTCCAGGTCAGACTGTAGTACCTATTTTATTATGCGTTCCTGGGTTGGCTGGTTTGCCTGTTATGTATAAGAATAAATACAGACTTTATATATTCTACAATGTATACATTTAAGTCTTTTGCTTTGTAGGACTAAGTAAAATAAACAGGTCATAAATATTTTTCAAGCCATTTCAGTGTTAATCTGACCAATGCTTTCATGGTAAAGTGGGTTAGTACAGCCAGCAGGACTCAAATACACCCTCTTGGTATTAAATGAATGCTTTGGGTTTTTGCTCTGCCTTAATTAAAGTTCATGCAGGCTTCCTACCCAGGAAATTAGTCATAAAATCGGTTTTATTTGGTGACAGTCTATGGAGCAGATTTAGTTTGCAATTGCCCATTCCAAGTATTCAAAATGTAAATGCACCTTTAAAGTGATGCAAGTATTATGAACAGGTTTAAAACATAAACAAAAGAGTCAAAGAAATAGGTAATGTTAATCGTTCTGCTTTTTATTTGTTTATGAACAAACTTGTGTAAAAGACTGGTAAATTCAAGAACACCTATGTCAGAATAATTGTAAAGGCTTTTTGAAATGTTATGATATGTTGAAATGAATAATATGAGAGAGGGATCTTAAGCATTTTATTTTGCTGAGGGTGCAAAGGATTTCATCCCTCCAGATACAGTACTTACATTCCCATTTCAGCATCAGGGGCACGGAAACCTATAAACCATTACAGAAAGGTAGAGAGAGGGAAAAAGGGGCCAACAGCTCTGTTTTCTATCTAATGAGAGCCTCCAGTGTTAATGCCTTTGACTTCTGGTCATGTCATTGGTCAGTTGCAGCCCACGCAATTGCTTGGAAAACGTTGCATTGCTGATTCCAAGAGCCTGTTATTCTTGTCACAGGTAATGCGTCAGTTGCTGCAGGAAGCCACCTGCAGCTGTACAAATGCTCCAGAAGTAGAACATCCCTGATTGCTGGTTCCCCGTTGGCATGTCAATAGGATTCCCAGCATGCATTTTGATCAAGTCCAGGCTGGGAAAAAATGTGTTTTATTGATAAGAAGGTCTTTTTGTATTTTTGAATATTCTACCCTCCAAATGAGCATTGAGATGCATCCCACTGTCATATCAGGGATGGAGTTTATTTTTGGCTTCTGGCAGGTATTTGTGTGGTCTCCATGGTGACAGAATGAAGCTCCCATTGAGTCGAGCAGAACTGGTGCTAAATTATCTAGCGTGCGATTTTCGTTCTGGGTTTGAGGACAGTGAGGACAGTCCGTGTGTGAAATTCTGGAAAGGCAACTTAATCATTAAAACCTAGTGCTGCGTGGTTCTATTGAGGTCACCACAGACATAAATGGCTGGAAATGTGGAGAAGTTCTCCTAAAATAGGACCTTTTTCTTTTCATGTGGGTCTTTGTGTCTGTGAGACCAGCTAGTTTGACCTTATAGTACCCTGTAGGTCTCAGGGTTTAAAGTTGACCTTGTGACACATTGACGTTTGCAAAGCCAGGACAGCAGATGACAGTGACAGCCGTCTGCAGCAGTGACAGGGTCACACTGACACACCCCAGCATAGTGTGGATAATGCAGTCATTGTGACGTTACATTTAAACCCGTCCTGCATGTATTCCTGAGCTACAGTGCAAATATACGTTTTGAAATGTAACTTTTGAATTTTTTTTTCTAAGTTGTAATTCTGTAATGGAGTTGCTGACTGCTTTTCTATTTAATTTGCACACCTGAATGCTTAATTGAACCGGATTCCGGTTAAATGCCTCACTGGAGGAAGCAGAGAACACAGCTCACCTGGCAAGTTAAATCAGCAGGTCCTTAATCTGCCATTTCCCCCAACCTTACACATCCAAGGTTTACACTCAGCCCAGGAGACAGTTATTCCCCTTTCATGCAGTGAGCACTGTCACTGGAAGACTGCTTACTGCCTTTGATGTCTCGTGTTAAGAGAGCCAACATCTTTAAAAACACTGAATAACAGCACTGATAAAGCGAGTATTACTGTTTGCTGTTGTTAATATCTGTGACTTCTTCTTCCACGTTGAGCCAATGTCTACAGTTTAGCAGTGGTAGCAAGCTGTCTGTCTTTGACGTCCTTATTTCAACATTTTGATGATTAATTTGAAAGAAAGGGTTGACTTACAGGATTTAATAAGGATTAGTTTGAGCATGTATCAAAATTTAAGAAGTGCTTTCAGCCTCTCAGCTATAGTTAAATGCAAGATAGTAGAAATAACTATTTTTTTCCCTCCATAGTTATCAAGCTACGGAGTAAAATGTCGGGGGTGACTCTGCCGCCCCTAGTGGTTGGAGGGGGGAGTGTAGCTGTGACCGCCAGTAAATCACATGACGGTAACATACGTATTTGCGTCCCCCAGGTAGGGTAAGGGTGTGTGTGGTGAGGGAAGGGAAAAACAGACGGAGTTGGCCGTAAGTCAACACAGCCTCTCTGCAAAGGCTAACCTAACAGCGCATGCCAATGATGTGTTTTTCTGCCAGTCACGGACATGCTGGGAATAGACAATCGCTAATCTTCACCTCGCTTTCCTATTTACCGAGATCATTACACCTCTACGTTATATTCTATGCGCCTTACGTTACCTCTCGAGTCTGACGTCTGTAATTTCATTAATATTTAGCCTTTTTGGAAGTTACGACACGGCTCAGAGTAATAACGGGCACATTTTAAATGCATTGCCTCACGCCTCCTTCAATCAGAGGTGTCAGAGGAGTAAAGAATTACTCCTCCTGAGCTGTAAATAAGAATTTAATAGTTTGTGTCGTGCGGCTGCCACATCCTCTGTGTTTCAAATAAATAAATATCACCACGTTTCGACGATGCTGCACACTCTGGATACTGAGAAAAGCAAGCATATTTGTGCCCTAACGAAGAATACAATACAGTTTCTACATTGTTTACGTCATACAAATATGTTGCACACATATATTTATTTATACAAATATAATATTTATAACAATTGCATATCACAGATTTTTTTCTGTATAATATGGTACATACAGCCTTGAAAATACAAGCATTCAAAAATACAGAGATGAGTGGTCTGGCAGGACAGGAATTCACTGAGGTGAAAAGTCCTCAGCTTCACTTTGTTAGTCACAAGGTATGATATTTATGCTCTGTGGATGTTTCAGAGACTCACCTTCATTAAAACGTAACAGACATGGAAGAAACAAACAAGACAAAGTCCTTACTAAGAGAAGTGTACCATGACATTAGAATGGGATGGAATCACGGAGGCGGAACGGGACCAAGTCAAGTACCGGCTGGAGGGCAGGTTTCAAAAGCACTGTGGCAGTTCACTTAGCCGTACTCTCCTTGTAAAGAAAAGACCCAACACCTCTGTCCGGAAAAGGTGAAAGAGAATCAGATACAGGAGTCTCAACTGCCAGTGACAGAATGAAAGGGACATCTGGAGGCAGTATTCAGTGTACAGCAGAATCTTTCATTATATACCTTCCTAGTAAGTGATTCTTACACCCATGTACCTCACGTAAAGTACAGCAGAATGTATCTTTCATTATATACCATCCTAGTAACATTAGCTGTGATTTTATACCCATGTACCTCACGTAAAGTGTAGCAGAATGTATCTTTCATTATATACCATCCTAGTAACATTAGCCGTGATTTTACACCCATGTACCTCACGTAAAGTACAGCAGAATGTATCTTTCATTATATACCATCCTAGTAACATTAGCCGTGATTTTACACCCGTGAACCTCACCTAAAGTACAGCAGAATGTATCTTTCATGGTATACCATCCTAGTAACATTAGCAGTGATTTTACACTCGTGTCCCTCACGTAAAGTACAGCAGAATGTATCTTTCACAATATACCATCCTAGTACATTAGCAGTGATTTTACACCCGTGAACCTCACGTAAAGTACAGCAGAATGTATCTTTCACAATATACCATCCTAGTACATTAGCTGTGATTTTACACCCATGTACCTCACGTAAAGTACAGCAGAATGTATCTTTCTTTATACTGTTATACGTAGGACATTCTTCTGAAACATTGTTTTTCTCATAAAATTTCTGACACAAACTATTAAATAGAAATGTCCCAAAATAACAAAATATTATAAATGAATAAATATATACTGCATATCTTTTTTTTTTTACTGTAGTTTGCCTCATGGACACAGCACAAACATTATTTTTGCTGTATTAAATTTGGTGATTATATATTTTATGGTTTTTCCTTCATGATAGAACTACAGTAAATTACTATCATAAAATTCAAGTCGTGGCATTTACTTTCCAGTCATAATTCACTATTTTTTTAGATTAAATTCATATTATTGATTAGCAGTAAAGGTCTGCTTTTTCCACTCTTTCATGCCAAATCATTTCCACAGGAAGAGACATTAAAAACTTGTCTTCCCATCCATTTTTCCTTCAGGGCTGGTATGCCTGACTCCTTTCTTTGTGGAAGTCCATCCACGTGTTCTTCAGCCTTGTGCCCCCTGCTTAGCGAGTCTTATTGCTGAGCTGCTAGTGTTTCCATACAAAACAGTTTATCGCTACAGTACATTAGGTAAAAAAAAAAGTCATGTATTCATAACCGGACCAAATCTTACATATAAGTACTCATTTACACAGTCAGGATACAAACATCACAGGGACACTGTTTTTTCTACAAAGTAAATTATGCAAAGAAGAAAGAAGTCAGTAAACTAGGTATAAAAAACAGAAACAAGGAACAGGATGGTGTAGTATTCTGCAGTCTACAAAGGGGCTTTGTTTTTTAACAGTTTTTATACAGTAACGACTACTCTATGCGAAGTGCAGACCTGCCTTTGCACAGGATCATACATGTGTCTGTGTGTGTGTATTTCAAGCACCAGTGTGTAGGGTTTAGGGTACATATCCTGGGTGTTCACTACGCCGCTCTTCAGCTAGGGGGGTACAGCAGCTTCGTGGAAGGTGGACTAGCCCAGACTGAAAAATAGACGTTTCATTGTCTCTCGGGGAACGCGCTGAAGACGGGGGCGCGCTCCGGACGCCGCCTGACCGCGATCTTCTACTTCTTCTTCTTGTGGAAGAAGCTGTGGGAAGCAGAGCAGGACAGAAGCTGAGGGGAGAGATTAGCGCGCTTCAGCGGGCAGGTTCTGTGCGCAAACTTTCAACACGGTTTGCCGGTTAGAAGCAAATCGAGCTTTCGTTGCCGACAAATTACGTCTCTTATTTGCACAGTATTGTCCCCCATCTAAACAATGCCAGTTGTTTGGAAAGTGCAGCTATTTTTATAATGAATGAATTTGCCAGTAAAATCTCAATTACACAGGATGCACCTACCCATTAAAACAATCGGCAACCGGTAAATTAGTAGTTATCAAAATACATAATGTTGTTTATGAGCACAGTCCCTTTTTAATGAACCCTGCTCCTGCTGTGTGTGTGTTTGTGTATGTGTGTGTGTGTGTGTGTGTGTGTGTGTGTATTACATTGTGGGGACCAAATGTCAATTATTTTGACATTATGAGGACCATTTTTTGGTCCCCGCAAGGGGAAACTCAGCTTTATAAAATACGTGACTTAACTATCAAAAAACTAAAAAAGTCAAAAGTCTTCCATTTCCTTTGGTTTCTTATGGTTAAGGTTAGGACTGGGTAGGGTTTAAGGTCATCATTGTTGGGATTAGGGTTTTGCCCCTAGGAATGAATGGATGGTCCCCACAAAGATATGGCTCTGTGTGTGTGTGTGTGTGTGTGTGTGCATGTGTGTGTGTGTGTGTATATTTCTGGGACTCCCCAAGACCCTGACCAAATGATAACCAGTTGACTGAATGGATATATTTCTTCATTTGTATCACCACATGCCTATTTAAAAACTCACAAATGCTGCTTTCAACCAGCTAGAGCACTGAGCAGCTCGCTTATGCACGTGCCAGGGGGTCCATTTCACACTCGTACATCCTGCCAGCCCATTTATGTAGGACGCCAGCTTGCTCCACTCACACACACAGCTCACATGCTCACATGGATTAACGTGAAGGACTTTCTGGGATTTCGGCATGAAGGATCCGGTCCATATAGCGCTCTTCGGACCCGGAGCTGCATCAAAGGCAGCCACGGAAGCGAGAAATAAATGAGGGATAGGTCACTATTGGTAGATTTTTAACAGGGGGGGGGGGGTTAGATTGGAGTAGATTCCCCTGGGTAGATTTTGCCAATCTGGGGGCAGGAACAAATTTGGGGGTTCAATTTCACTACCTGGCTACATACCTGGGGAGCAAACAGATATGTGGTGGGGGGGGGGGTGGCACCCAGTATTTTATTACATACCTAGTCTGACCATGGACGTTTCTGCTGTCTGTGGTTTACTGTTTATCTTTACATTGAATATTTGTTTTTGGAGTTAATTTCATTCTGTCTGTTTATAGCACTTGCAGTTTACAGAAACCTTAAATTTGTTGGTCAATACAGCTACGGCATTGAGTAATGATGGAACAAACTAAACCTTTGAGTAATGATGGAGCAAAGACAGAAAGCTATTTCAATTTCCCTTTGTATCCATGGGCGAGCAGAATGACACATCAAGTAGGGAATGTATCGATTTGAAGTACCTGTACTATTTAAATGTTTGTGAGTTGGTTGTTGCTCCCCGGCTAGCATGCGAATCTCCCACGGTCCGTGATTTCCATGCTGTGGCGTTACAAATCCACCCTGATCGCATTGTAGTCAGACACTGTATTTGTTAAACAATAAATCATTAAAAAGCCCTTCACACATCCAAGGAATAAGATTATTGCTGCTGGTGCGTCTGCAGAGATGATTGAAACGGCAAGTACGCCAAATTATTCCCAGCGGGCTTCCCAGAGCGCTTTCTGAAACACATTTAACTACCTTTTTTTCTGATGCCATAATAAATTAGGGCTGGTTCATTTTTCTCATGCATTAAAGGCCACAGCACAAAAGAGGTGTCAGCCCTCAAGGATAAACAGTATTTATTGAGCCCCAGTAGAACAAAAGCATTTGATACATTTTTACAGTAATATTTCAGACTGGAGCTTCAGCTGTTGTCCTTGTGGATGCTCTGTAACTATGGCTGCTGTGTGGTGCTGGAATGGTTCGTTCCTGATTAGGCCACGCCCCTTACCCCCTACCATGGCATTGGTATGGCCCGGCAGGTGAGGGATTACAGAATTTAGGCCCGAGGTCCTGTCTCCTCTGGGGGCCTGAAAGCAATGAAAAGCCTCACCTACGAGGTGTGGTTCTGCTGGGCAGCCGGGTTCTGCTGCTGCTGCTGTTGCTGGATGAGCAGCTGCTGCTGCTGGCGCCGTCGGGCCGTGCGAAGCTTCTCGAAACGCGCCTCCATCTCCTCCAGGACTTTGGGCGTGTAGCGCACCACCAGCTTCACGCTGTCCTTGGCTGCCTTCAGCAGCTCCACCGCCTTCTCGTGGTGCTCCCCCTCCACGCTCTGGACAGGGACACGCGGCAGCAGCGGGCGGTCATTGAGGCGTCGCTGTGACACCCTCGACCCTCATGGAGGCGCTGTGGCTGACACGGTGTCCTCACACCTCTGGGGTTTGAGGTTCGGTTGCTGCTTCTGGCTCTGTGTGCATGGAGTTCACAAGTTCTCCCTGTGCTTTTTTTTTTTGGAAGGGTTTTAGTTTGGATGTAACAGTACTCTCGACTGAAGTTGACATTTTGCCTAACATTTTGTTCCAAACCAAACAGAGGGTGCCGGAACATTGGTCAAATTAAGATCTAATTGATCTGTGATGAAAACCCCAGAGGCAACAGGAACTGGCCACTAGTCATGGAATAAATCATTTTAAGCATGTTTCTAAAGTGATGAATGACTTGTATTACAAAGCCTTGTGATATATCCGTAAAGTCAAATAATCAATTAATATTTGAAGAAAGAATGGTTGTATTTTTTTATATAGCACTTTCATAACTGCTATATTGTAGCATTAAATAGGGTTTTATTACAGTGGGACTCTTGTAGCTATTTATGAGTATACATAATGGATAAATAAATCATTAATATTTCTCATTTTGTTACGCATGATTTAATCAGAGTTATATTATGCCAGATGAATTATTCATTAATTCACTGCAGATACTAACAGTTGTTTGCGCTTAGTGCAACAAGAATAAAATTTGTGGCTTAATTAAAAACGCCATTAAACAAAGAGAAATGACATAGTCTGATAGTCTAAATACCAGCAAAATGTGATTAATTCTTTCGGAAGCAAATTGTGTAAGCAGCCATTTTATTTCTACTAATAGTATTTTTAAAAATTTGTTTAAATTTTTTTATTTATTTATTTATTTTATTATTTATTTATGTATTTGTGATTTGTTGTGTTAAGTGACCTTGGGTGTTTTGAAAGGCGCTGAAAATAAAATGTATTATTATTATTATTATTATTATTTTTTTTTATTAATAGTATTTTTCAGCGGGGAATAACCTATTAAAAGTGAAACCATCATCTTGTTTATGGCAGTAACTAGTTATTGTATAGTGCTACATATTCAGCATATTGCAAGCTTTTTGTAAGAGCCACATCGACAACAGATACAGGCTTATCCTACAAATCAAAAGCTGGAAATATTTTCAATATTTCACAGATCCATCAAGGCACGTTTGGACAGCGATATGATTTATTATGGGCTGGGAAAAGCCCCTTTCACGAAACGATGGTATCTACATGATACCATCATTATGAATGGCCATAACTTCAGAATTGTACAGATTCAATCAAAATCACAAACACAAGTGCGTTAAGGTAGCCCCTATTGATCTGCACTTGAAGAGTAAAGCAGTGACGACCGCTTGCATCTCCATAAATAAGGTGGGTGGGCTCACCACACCGTTGACGGACAGCAGCTGGTCGCCCCGTTTCAGGCCGCCTTGCCTCTCGGCCACGCCCCCCGGGATGATGCGTGAGATGTAGATGGGCGAGTTCTGCTCCTTGCCGCCCATCACGTTGAAGCCGAGCCCTTCGTCCGTCTTGGGCAGCTCCACCACACGGGGATGCGAGTGGCCCTCGCTGGCAGCAAAGGCTGCAACTGTTGCCTTTTGGGAGGGGGGAGGTTTAAACATGTAAAAAGGTCTTTACTATGCATCTACATTGAGACATATCTATGACATTATGCGAAAGCAGGCAGTGTGGTAACTCAACGGGTCTTCTCCGGAGTTGTGGGTTCGATTCCTTTCCCTGGGTTTGTGTGTGGAGTTTGCGTACTCTCCCCGTGCTTTTCGGGGTTTAATCCCACAGTCCAGAGACATGCAGTTTAGGTGAGTTAGGTCAGTGTGTTCCTACATTTCCCTTTAAATGATTTTGTGCTTGTGTGTAAATGCACTGTGACAGTTTGCTATCCCATCCAGGGTGTCTCCCAATTTGTTCCCGGCGCTTCCTGGGATTGTCTCCAAGCTGACCGCGACTCTGTGCTGGGTAATCAATTATGGACCATGGATGGGTGAGAAGTCCCTATGTGCTTAACTGATTCAGGTATTGTTACTCTGCAAGGTTCACGTAAAAGGTCGCTTCCCCATTATACCAGACTAACAAATCCGTATGCTTATATGTTTAACAGACACTTTTGTCCAAAGCAGGAGGAAATCTAAGCGGAGTCTGCTGGCAGCCCCAGACCAGTTTATTTTTGTGTTTTGAGGTAAGGTAGTTCCACTCCGAATAGCTAGTCTCGGTTGGTTTGTTATTTTGGCCTTTCCCCCTCCTGAGGTTTATGTTATGCTCCCAACTATTGTAATTAGCTGTTTTGATTAAAAACTTTTGTAATCTGAGAATTTCTCCTTTTTGTTTTGTTTCTGTTATGGCGCTCTAACCCCTGGACCGCTTAGTTGTGCAGGGTGCCGTAAGAGAGTGTGGGCAACATCCATGCATATGCACAACATCTTGGTGCCAACATAATTAAGGATGTCTTAGGACATAACAATGTACATGAACATGGCTTGATGACTTGACAAAGAACTACAAACTTTACGGATCACTTAAGTCCTGTAGCACAGGCTGTAGATTTGTATGCTCTATGCCAGGCTGCAGATTCGTATGCTCTATGCCAGGCTGCAGATTCGTATGTTCTATGCCATCACATAACACTGGTAAAAGCTTTGCTGAGTGGTACAGTGGTCATTGGACTGCTGGTCTGATATGTCGCCCTCTTTCTCGAATTCAGCTGCAGATTAGCAATATAGAAGAGAGAGAGCAAAGCAGCCTGGATAAATGAGGTCAAATCCCCAGCTTAAGAGTTCTCTGCACATTTCATTTTGTTAGTCAGATCTTCCGGAAATCCTCTGAGCTGTATTTAAAAACTTGTTAGAACAAGGAATACAGTCATGAAGAGTGTTAGTTTAACATTACATATTACGTATAAGTGTATGGGATGCATTGCAGTATCGCCCCCTGTAGGTGTTTTTCGGTATTGTAGGTATTCTGGATGAATCTCGCCATCTAGAAAGGATGCATAAATTCCACCGAGAGCTGCTCTCCTTTTTCTCGGCGACAGAAGGAGGTCTACAATCCTTACGTCAGGAAACTTCACTTCATCTCTGTCTCAGTCTCTCTCGACATCGCCGCGGTGTGAATCTGCATTCCCATGCACGCCGTGACCTCTCCTAACCTTTAGACGTTTGTCCAACTCCGCTATCAGGAAAGGAGAATCCGTGTCGCGGTGCTCCTCCTCTGACAGTGGCGGGGTGCCTGCGAGTTTAAGAAATGCAGCCTGTCCTTTTCCTGCAGTTCTTAGCACCCGTGCCATCCTGCCTGGTACAGCTGGTCAGCTCGCACATGCGGGTGCAGATCAGCCCTAAGATGGCACCGCTGCAGTCCTCCCTAACAAAATCATCAGCACTTATCCAAATTAGTTCAGCACTGATTAAAAAATTACAATTATAAACAGGTATTTGCTCTGAAAATCCAGAGCTTAGTTACAGCGCTACAAAAAAATCCATGTCCTCCATCGGGCAAAGTGTGAAATGAATTTAAAGCTGGTCTGTGCGTAACAAGACATCTGTCATTGTCTTTGAATGAAATGCATAGCGTTTTAAAGGCCTTCTGTAGCGCTTCTTAGTCATTTGATCTCACTGCCCGTTTGTAGAGGGTAAGAGGTAGGCATCGCGGCACCTTGATTATCCCGCTGTAATTGCTATCGCGGTGTCAGCAATGATGTTTAAGCGAGGAGCAGAGAGGCCGGCGATAGCTTCAGAAGTCTGACGGAGAATTAGAGGCCGCAGGGCCTTTATAGGGGCTAACGAAAGCTTCTTATGTCTGCTGCTAAACGCCAACACAGATAGTGCTTTTCCTTTGGGTAAAAAAAAAAAACAGGTCTCCCAGAATAGTCTAGCAGAAAGCTTTACTGGTCTATGCTTTGGCCAGACATCAGTGTCATCTACTGTAGAACATTGCAGAGTGCGATTTGAATAGCTCCTCCTTTAAGAGAGCTTTCGGTACAGGTCCTTCTCGACTAACCACACAACAGGGCCCTCATTCCACTAAGCTGTCTATTAACCTGAGTAAATTATTTTAGAGTCCGTTGGTCCTCAGGTCTAACATCAGACACTCAGTGTGTGGTGTGGTGAGATACCATGGCTGCCCACTGCCCAGGTGACCACAGTGTTTACTTCTGTGTTTCTTTCAAACTGTACCGAAAAATATACCATATTATAACGTTTGGCTTACGACTGTTGTCGGAATCTACGTAGCTGGCTACTGTTTAGGCACTTGGCTAACAGGACCAAACAAAGGATATCCAATATTATTATGAAACAGACCCAATTAAAAGAGGTGCAGTACATGAAAGTGTGTATGACTTTAGAAACTAAGGTAAATTTACAGTTGTTCTGATCCCACAGGAGACGAATGCTAACTTTTGAAAAGCCATCTTACCATGATGATTTAGTCTTTTATTCTTCTTTTGCTACGTATTACATCAGTTTCTTCCATTGTTTGCATATTCTGTGTTGACGTACTCCTTCCCCCAACAAACGCATGTAATAGGCGCTAGACATATTTGCGGCGTGTGAAGCCTGCCTGGTTCTTCTCCAAACAAGGAAGGCTGGCAAATAAATAAGAGAATCTGCTTCGTATACTCCAGTGATGGGTGAGCTTTATCTGTAACACTGCAGACTGTTTGCCAGCATCTCCGGCCGGTAGATAACGCCAGGAGTGGACGGGTCCTTCTGGGCCAAGATTAGCCTCTCACCTCTGCTGAAGAGGATCTTAATATTCACTTGCACAGTCTCACCATGTGAAACATCTCCACCATCTATTCTGCCATCTAATGCTGCCATGTCTGACTGGCATGCAATTTTGGAATGCAATTTTTAAAATATTCTAAACAAAGGGCAAAATCAGTTGGAAACTGGAAAATGTACATTTTTTTCAGTTAAAAATAATATGCTATCATGTATATGAAGTTTGTTTTTGTTATTAAACATTTGCATGGAATTATCATAGGGTTTGACCCTTGATTGTAAGTAGTTTTAAATAAACTGTACATATTGTATATATGTGTGGTGTGTTTTATTTGAGTCCTGTGCCTGTAATCTATTGTGATGTATTGTTCAGCTCCTGCTCTGATGCTAACCAGTACTTTATACTGGTCGTTCACTGAAAGCTCAAGGTTAGCACTCATACTTAGTTGGCTCATTGACAGCTGTATGCTTGAAATATATTATTTGCCTCACTTGTACATCACTTAGTACTTAGGAATAAATTGTACATCACTTAGTACTTAGTACTGCTGAATAAATTTAAGTGTAAGAAATGCAACAGCCCTGGCTGCAGCAGGAGTGTACAGATGCTGTATCATGACAGCAGGGGGACTGTAGAGAATGCGTATCGTGACAGCAGGGGAGAGTGTAAAGAATGCACGTCATGACAGCAGAGTGGGTCGTAGAGAATGTGTGTCGTGACAGCAGGGGGGGGGCACAGAGAATGTCTGTTGTGACAGCAGGATGAAGTGTAGAGAATGTGTGTTGTGACGGCAGGGGGAGCGTAGAAAATGCGTGTCGTGACAGTAGAGTGCAGACACTGTGTATTGTGACATAGAGACTCTGTATCGTGACAGCAGCAGGGGAGAGCAGGGCTTACCTTAGCCGTGGCCCGGGCTTGGTACTCCAGACAGCCATTCACTGTTATTGTCTCATGCATGTACTGATAGACCTGTACAGACAGGAGAGAGGGGTGGTGGGGCGGATAGATGCTGTTAGACAGAAGAGTAAATGCCGTCAGCCTCCAGGCAGGCTGCCTCCTGACTGACAAGTGTGCTGGCTTTTGGAAACTTGTTTTCCTCTGCTGTTCAACAAATAATGTTTGCTTAATGTTTAGATCAAAATCCATTAAAATACTGTTGCAGTGATGCATCCATCTACATCTGTTTTCCCTCTTTACATATTTCGGTTTGGTCGAATAAACGAAACGGCGCAGAATAAACACACAGTAGCAGCGATGTGTGAAAGCAGCACAGCCTTAGTGACATTAGCGTGATGAATAGGTCTTTTACACACGGAGGTGTGTGTGTTACCAGAGGCCCTGCACTTCCCCAGCTGTGAGCTACTAGCTTCTCTGTCAGGAGCTGAGGACAAAATCAAGCTTCTGCCCTAGAACTCCGCTGCATATCTGTGGCTTGGGCTAGGATCTCGCTTTCGGGAGGGGTGTTTCACATTCTGCCGGTCCCATGTAAATCAAATCCATTTAAGGCCAACCGACTGTCGAGTATTCTTGGCTACTGGTGTAACGAGATCTGGCGATATTGCAAAATGACGAGATTTCTCGTTAGAGTGAAAGGCGGTCTCGCGAAGGCGCTGCAAATCAGCTGATGTAAGCATGTCGGCGTCTGACGAAATTACCATAGTAGATGCCCCAGACACTTTTAAATCTTTTGTGTGGCAGCATTTTGGGTACCCAGCGGAAAATATAGACCGCGAGATAGTGACAGACAAAACACGAGCCACTTGTAAGCATTGTAGGAAAATAATGCCGTACACAGAGGCTAACACTACTACTATGCAAAGCCATTTTCAGTACCATCATAGCTCTTTACTTACATCCACTGAACCGGTGAAAAAAACAAAAAAAAAATTATGTTTGTTATTTATATTGTTTTATTTATATTCTATTTTATGTTCAATTGAGTAGTCAAATACGAGAGAATGCCTGTCATTTGAGTTTGCGGTCAAATATTTTATGGTGTTCGATATTTGTTCTGTTCTGATTATTTGAAACATTTCACCATACATCTGCATTATTCAGCATTTTTTGTCTTTCAAATTAATCAAATAATAGGCTGCTTTTTAGTAATATATTTCCTCTACAAAGTTTTCCTTAAAATACTGCTAAAATATCGTCTCGTTCTTGTGAACCCAATATCGTGTCTCGTCTCGCCTCGTGGGCTGAGTATATCGTTACTCCCCTATACTTGGCAATATCTAATTTTTCAAACCATCCAGACATTAAATGGCGGTGTATGGTATTTCAACGGTATTTTCAAGCATTCAAACCAGGCTTTTTTGAGGGGGTCCCGAGGTCTGGGGGCCCCCAGTTAGTCACAAAGAGTCACTACCCTAGTGGGGGCCCCCAGAATAACCTTTTGAATGGTGCCTCAGAAATAACAAACCAGCAAAGATGGACCTCAGAGGCTGCAACCAAAGGCTTGCATAACGTCATTAGTCACTGAATAGTCTTATAAGTATAATTATGTCCTTTTTAATTTTTTTGTGATTATTTGTCATTGTTGACACACCACAGCACACAGTGCACAACAACGAAATGTGTCCTCTGCATTTAACCCATACCCTGTATGTGACTTTTGTGACATAGCAGGGGGCAGCTAATTCAGCACCCGGGGAGCAGTGCTTGGGGGCGGTACCTTGCTCAGAGTACCTCAGTGGTGTCTTCCTGGTCAGGGATTTGAACCTGCAATCTTCCGATTACGAGTGTGCTTCTTTAACCATTAAGCCACCACTGCCACCACCACTGTTTTTGCTTTGTTTGATGCTGTTGTGTAGCTCCTGCTCCAATCCTGCTCTCACTTGTACCTGGGCATTCATTGGAAGCTCAGCCTAGCTGCACTTATGCCTAGTTCGCCCCTTAACAGTACAAATGTTTGTAAAGTGCTATTTTCCTTGTACATTACTTTGGACAAAAGCATCTGCCAAATATGTAAAAATGTCAATAAGGAGGACTGACAGGTCTGATCACATGACCTCCAAAAGCTGCCAGGGCATTTGGGTGTTATAAATACCCTTTATGTGCATAATTAATGAACTCGTAAAGGTGGTGTCCTTAATTTAGCGCACTGGCACATTAACGATAGTACAGTTTCACGCAGATGCTTTTACTCGCTTTTATATATTACGGTGTGTTAAAAATGGTTGTTACTAAAGTTAGAGATCAATTGAGCCTACACGGTACATCGTGATTCATTTGTCTTCATACATTTTATATGTTTTTGTGAGCAAAACTGAAAGCAGTGACTTTGTATGGCTAAAGGGTAAAGATAAATGTAAGGTGAGTTTCCACTGTAGCGTGTGAGTGAACAGCTGTGTACAGGACCTCTGCAGTAGGGATGTGTGGATTGAAAATGAAATATCTGTTGTTTGAAAATATTGATTTAATGGGAGCAGGACATGAACTATCAGCAGGCAGGCAGCCTATATGGGAGGACAACAGGGAAGACTTTCGAGGTCCCCCAACACTAGTATCTATGAAAATGGAACCATTGATCTGTCGGAACACCCCACCCCCCATCCCCAGGGTTGCCAAATCTCATGCATCTGGCATGACACTCACGCTTTCAGACCCTCACGCTCACGAAAGAAATCTCACGGCAAATCTATGTTATTCCATTGTAAACTTAAAATTAACTACATCAAAAGCATTGGGGTAGTTTGCAAACCCTACAAACCATTTACAATGTAATAAAACTGATACATACATGTAAATGCATCTGCATGCTTGTGCAGACTTGTCTCGAATTGAAAATCTCACTCCAGCCAGCTGACCAAAGTTGCCAAACCTACACCCCCCACTCGGCAAGTTTTATGTGTCAGGATCGGCATTGGTGATGCCAGTCTTGGATCGAATGAGAATTCGTCCAAAAGTGAAATCAGTGGTATCGCCCATCCGTTCTCTGCAGTCAGCAGTCCTGTGTGTTTGGTTTTACATTGCAGAGCGGCGTGGGCGGTAATTCGGTTAGCAGTCCCGTACCACAGCCGCCCACCCCTACTGCCAGGGGAGGCATCCCGTCATTCAGCGCATCGCTCGAGATAGTTCAGCATAGCACAACTCCCACCTTCATCCTCACACATCCACAACAGTATGATTTTACAGTTTAACTGTAATGAAACTGATTTTGACGTATTAAGTGTATTAAATGCTCCCGCTGAAAGTTTGACATCTTAATTAAAGGAAATGGTTACCAATCAAACCAAATAGAAAAACAAGGTACTTCTGACAAACTTAACAGTGAATCATGAATAATTTAGCAAACTGTCATCTCCTGTCCTGTATTCTGTAGGAAATCATTCTGAAAATAACATTATTTTAGAACAGTGAATATTTCTTCTTATCTCAAAAAACTATCTATTGAACCTGTAATTTAGCTTTTTATTAAAACTGCAGATGTTAACAAATCCGCATTTATTAAAAATTAAATTTCCATTTCTCTGCATTTGCACTTCAAAGGAGGCTCATTGCAGCTGTGTGGTTACCTAAGAAACACAACACGAGTAAACGGGCATGAAACTTTGCTGCAGCTTCACAGTCTGACCTTTCTCCAGACTTTCTGCCGATAACCTTGGGCTTCTGCTGCTGTTTTCTGGTTCTCAAGGGTTTTTGAAACCCTGCAGCAGAGCAGTGTGAGGCGCCGTGGTACAAACAGCCGTCTGGAGTTTCTGAACATGAAATGGGCCCCTGGGCATGAGGACCACCACATGCACAATAAGCTCTTATACCTGCTCTGGCTGAGACAGGGCCGGCCGAAGCCCACGTTGAGCCTTACGGAGGCTTCACTGCCCAATTAAACTTTGTTTTGTACAACTCTACATGCACCTTACAGGGGGGAGCTGGGGGGGGGGGTGCTGGCAAGCTTAATTGGCACCCCCTCAGAGGACTGAGAAGGTGGCATTTCTGTGCCTATTTAGGTGCCTATATTGCCTGATGTGTTGACTGGCACTGGGCTGGGGATTTTGTTGCCGTTGCCAAATGCTTGCAGGATTCAGCACCAATCGCAGTTACATGTCCCTCTTACCCCTGGCTGCTTTTCTCGGGTTCACATGCCATCCACTGGGGGGGCAGTTTAACTATTAACATCATTTCTCCGGAAGGGACTGCTTCGCCGGGAGGTTGCCAGCAAGTGAGCAGATGCAAAGGCGATTTGGCAGGAAGCCTGCCCCCTAGTTGTGTGACTCGGCATGACAACCGAGTGTGAGAGTCAGTTTCTACCTGCCCTGATAGATGAATGCTAAGATAAGACTTTGAAAGGCTGAGAATCCATATAGTAAACAAAGCTATAGGTTAGAATTTAGTTATAGAGGGTAATGTCGTTGTCAAGTGTGCTTCCCACGATTGCCTCATAGAGTCTGAAAGACTGTTAGAGTTTTCATAATGAGGAGATATAAATTTGATCGGGTGGAAGTGTATTTTTAAGCCATTTGGAGATGCTGTATTTCTTGGATAGCAATATCAGTAATATCTCCAAATGGTTTCAAAATCCAGTCAGTCATAAAGTGATAACCTCGTCAGAAAGTGTGTATATCTGGAAAGACAGCTCTCCAATAGAGGTTCAGTAATTGTCATAATAAAACTGCTCATTCGGAGACATTTACCAGAGTCCCCTGTGATGAATGGCAGTAAAAATGCTTTAATCTTCATGTTTAATCTTAAAAGGCGGCACACAAATTAACTGGTGGTTGAAAATGAGGAATATGATTAAATGTCCCCGAACGTCCTTTCGGATGGGGTGCGGGGAAAATCTTCTGGGCTGTTAGTGTAAATTGGCGGTAGGAAGCTCGGCAGAAATTTGAGGAGGACTCACTCCTGAGCGGATGGTGTACGGTCCTGATGGGGGGGTGGGGGGTAACTGTACGGTGACACTGTGGGAGCTTCACGCATGGAGACGGAAGATCATCACAGGACAGTGACAGTGACACGCCTTCTGCACAGGTGCCACCTTACTAATAATGCGCAGGAGCCCAGCTGATGCACTGCTCCAGTAATGAGCCCTACAAAACTAACAGTAATTATCACCCTCTCCACAGTCTATGTCCTGCCTTAGTGTGAGACCTTCTGCAGAGACTCCCATGGCTGGAAAGAAATAAATCATCGAGGGATTAAAGGAAGGTCCACCTATAGCTGGCTGGTGAACATGGTTGATTGGCAACCAATCTCAATTAATCCCTGCCACCTTTGTTTTCATAAACCCTGTTCCTTCTGTGATGTTTTTGTGTATTTCTCACCTGAAGAGACCTTTACTAAATTCACCTTTCAGAAACGGTCTGCCAACAGCCCTTGGTTTAACTTGTTTGCCCCAATGTGACTGATGTCTTTAGATCTCCACAGTCCCAGGCTGGGGTAATGCCCAAGCAGGTGATGGTCTGAACTTTGACTGCAGCTACAAAGTATAAGCACACTCAGTAAAATAAGGCTGTCTGCAGTCAGATCTTTGCCCCGCCCCTTCAGGACCCACCTCCCTGATGGCCGTGCAGAACTCGCTCTGCAGCACCTTCTTGAGAGACTGCAGCTTGTGAGCCGGGACGTCCCCAGACTCCTGTAGCTTCTCCAGCAACTCGATGGCCCTGGCCACGTCTCAGCAGAAGGGAGGGAACAAAGTAAGGAAGAAAGGGAGGGAAAAAAAGACCCTTAAATTTCTTTAATAGGTGAGCCTGTCGAGAAACCCGCGATGCTGGAGGGAATCAATCCAGAGAATAATGGGAATGGACTGGTTAGGGCCCAGGGCTGAGAATGTAATTATGCCCCTTTTCAATGCAGCTGTGGTGCACATAAGTGATGGGCAAAGGGCGAATCAGAGGACAGGCTTGTCCTCAGGGACCGCCCCCTGGCATGGATGGTGCATGACTGCTGGGCCTGTTAAGCAGCAAACAAGTTGTTTGTCCAGCGATACACACAAACTTGTCTTAGAGACCCCTACGATTATGTGCTTCTCAGTGAGGGTGCAGATGGCTGGAAATCACTGGAAGTTAAAGGCCGGTGTGCTATTGTTTGAGGGGCTGCTTTGAGAAACACAGGAAGCTAATTGTTAATTAAGCAGTGCCTGTGTTTGAACGGAACCCTGCTTACATTCATAAGAAAAAAACTCACTACATGAAAGCTGTATTGATTTCCTGGAGGACAGATTTCTCTCCTAAGTGCAGTGATCGAAAGTGTCACTACTCTCTGTACAACCCTGTTTCCAAAAAAGTTGGGACACTGTGTAAAATGTAAATAAAAACAGAATACATTGACCTACAAATCAATGACAACATATCAAATGCTGAAACCGAGAAATTTTCTTTTAGGATAAATTTTGGCTCAATTTGAATTTGATGCCAGCAACACATTTCAAAAAAGTTGGGACAGGGGCAACAAAAGACTGGAAAAGTTGTGCAATGCTAAAACAAAACACCTGGTCGAATATCTCAGAACTAATTAGGTTAATTGACAACAGGTCAGTAAGATGATTTGGTATGAAAACAGCCTGACAGAGAGGTGGCGTCTCTGTGCAGAGAATGTTCCAGCAAGCATCTACAGTATGGAACGGCAAAGTCTAAATGTATTGATTCCCCCGATCATGCACTGCACAGCCAACTGGAAGAGCCTGGTTTAACTTCCAGCCTGTCGTAGGATCCAGATAATCGCTGCTGTCTTCTAGCATTATTGTAACAGTTCTGGTTCCTTTTAACGCTCTTGATGCATGGGAGTTACCATGGATACCTGTGGCATCTGTTACTCCAAGCCTCTCTCAGCATCGCTGCTAATGGATGCAGCCCAGGTATCTAATGGAATATCTAGCTGTTTGAGTGTTGGGTTTTGGGAAGTGAAACGGTGGCAATGCGTGACATGGTACGCTAACACCAAGGGTCGTGAGGGCTGCTGGTCAGTGCAAGTACAGGCACCCCCCTCAACCGTCGCCTCGCAGAAGCACCTGAGTGTGGGTTGTTGCTCTATGCTCTCTGCTAATAATGAGGAAATAGAAGCAGGTAGCCCCAGCCTGACTATGCCGTTGTAGGATAACAGGACGTGTTTGTCGTACCTGAATGGGTTTGGCCTTTTCCCCCTTTAATTTGGCTTTGCATTTGACGTTGTGTATGAAAACAGATAATAAAAACCGGGGGAAAAAAAGTCCCTATAGTTTTTCTGCCTTTGATAGCTCTGAGCGGGATGAGGTTTGGCATGTGACTGCATATTTATCAGCACTGGGCAGGTCAAGGACAGACTATGAGGGCGCTGTTTAGCGTACTTATCCTCAGAAAGGACTGAAGGACCACAGCCAGGGCTATACTGTATGTTTCACTAGAAATACTGCAAAATTACAGCTGCCTCTGTCACTGCATGTCTGGCCTGAGAAAACATGTTGATCTTGGCACTTGTTACAACAAACCATACAGAAGGAGCCTTGAATTTTAAAGCTTTTTTCTATGCATATTCTAGCCAATAGGAACCGAGCAGCACCTTGAATGTCAGGAAAATGCCGTAAGTCATCTATGCTAAGCATCCCTTTAGATTGCATAAATAATAATAGTAAAGCTGCTCAGTGCCGACAATCTGAAGGTTAACTTGCTGTAGTACTAGATAGCATATTAAATGCTAAACAAGCCCTATAGCATCCACAAGGGCAAAAGGACATCCACGTCTCATCATGCAGTCAACTTTAAAATGCACACGATTCTAAGAAATGCTAAAATGTCAGCCTGGAGCAAGGAAAATAACATTAGCTATACATTAATACCAGAATAGGTGAAGAGGAACCTTGATTATACTGTCGTTCTGCGTTAAAGACCTTTTGCTTCTGAACATCTGCCATCAAACAGAACCTACAGAGCCCAGAATTTCCTCAACTTTGCAGCACTGGTGCAAATGATCCCGGTAAATGGCATTTGATAGGCTTTATTTTAGATTAATATGCAGCATACACAGCGGGCACAGAATTGAGGCTGCAGGGGTGCTGTGTCAGGCCTGGCTAGTTGAAGTAATAGGTGGTGATGGAGCTAGAACACAAATCTAGTGACAAACAGGCCAGAAGTGTTATATAGTTGTTCTAGGACATAAAGCGCAGTATAAGAGCTAAATTGGTTGTAAAAAAAGGAGCAGAAGAAACACCTTTCTGTGTTGTGCCCCTTCATTACCTTCGCTTACCCAGCTGACCGCTTTTAACAGTTCAATGCAGTGTAATTCAGTGAAGCGCAGACGGATAATTGTTTTGCTGTCATACACTGAATGTGAAACATATAAAGATATACAAGTATTTGGCAATAGAAATTTAGCATTGATCCCCCCCCCCCCAATATCATTATTATAATTATTGTTGTTGTTTGTTTGTTGACATGTAAAATAGGGGGCTCAGATGGCATAACTATTTCAGGGTTGGGGGTTTGAATTTGGCCCCCAGTCTGTGTCTCCTAACTTGGGGGGGTGGGGGTGGTCATGGTTCCATCCTCTGGTTCCGATCTCGGTTTACACCCTTACAATTAGGACACCCACCTAAGTGTACTGACCTCTCTACATTGTGCCTGACTGCGTACGTACTGGGACGGACTGGTATAGCATCCATGATGTTCTGCTGGATTATGCCATATGTTTCCACACTCCACATGACCCTGTACTGGGTAACTGGTTGGAAGACGGATAATCATAACAATAACAACACACATGTGAATCTAAATTAATATTCAATGACATTTCATATACCCCCAAACCATTATTTTACAGTGCTGGCCAGTTTTTATCCCTCATGTATAGACAGGATGCGTCAATAAAAGCAATTACAACATCAAGGGAATGTTTGTGTTTTAATATAATAGATCAGTCAGTTCTGTTATGGTTTGATAAACCCACCTCTTATTCTCTAATGTAGTAATAACAATATTTGTGATTTTTCGGATCACATGACTTCCCCAGCACTTGGGATTGGATGAAACCCAGCCAAGCCCACAGTTAAAACTCCTATCAAGTCAGTTCAGCTCGTCTATCACTCAAACGGAGTAAATTACTGCTAATTGGATCTATGTTGACATTCCGCACAACAGAGACAAAATAAATAATTCTGCAGAGTAATAGCTCCTGGTGGGGCCAACCTGGGAGCTAATCCCGCGTGACATATTTTGGAGTTTATCAAATAATCACCGAAAGTCTCCATTCACATCCCGTCCTTACTTATTAGCAATTCTAACAGTACCTTATAAATATTTATATAACGTTTAGCGTTGCATTAATTTTTATGGCGCGCTTTACTGACATTGTAATCTTTTCTTTTTTCCCTGTGCTTAAATACGTTGTACTTTAAAATGAAAACACAACTGTATGGACCTGCACAGGCTAAGCGGCTATGAAAGATGGACCCTCAAAAACGGACCCTCAAAAGGTGAATATTGAAAACATGAGTTACTATAATAAACGTCACTTGATTGCTCTTTGCTGCAGTTATAAATGATCTTTGCATGAGAGGTGCAGCGTGACCTGATTGACAACATTGTTTGATTCGTATTGTTCAGTTGGGCAGAAAATAAAGAACTATAGTACGCTCATTATAATTAAGAGTCCGCTATTCCAAATGTTAGATCAAAACCTGTTGCCATTCCAGTTTAATTGTCGTTTCCGAATTATAGGCTAACATTTATTATGATTCTCAGTAAGGTTAGATGTTCAAGAGTTCGGAGGAATACTTCTTCTTGTGACTTTGAGAATACCTGCTTTTAATAGCTGTAGAGATGTACACATCACTTTCTCCGATTAGTATGTGGCAGACTAGACCGTTTGAAGCGGTACATTGCCGAATTACTATATTTCTACGATACCGCATCATCGATAATGACTGCTGTTACTCAAGGACAACTGAACAATCTGTATATGGATACGTTTACACATTTACACCACTGTACACATGCACAATATTTTAAAACCCATTTCATAACGTATAGGCTATTCGATTTAATACCGCTTGCGTCTATTATTACTAATAATAGTACATCTACGTAGGCTACTACACACTCAAATACTTATCAAATATGAACGTGCAATCGGCACAGCTTAAGTGTAAATTTGATTTTGGATGAGTCAATGAGTAAATAAAAACATGAAATAAGATCAGGAAAGTAAAGCATAAATGACAAGTAGATGTATTCTCGAGTAACAATCTCAGATATGGTAAAAAAAAAAAATACGGTCCACTTCCATCGGGTACAGTTTGCGCCTCAAAAGTGTTGCGTCCACAACGCATCACAGCTTGACCAGGATGTGGAAAATAAACGTGAAATACATCGACTGAGCTTCTTATTTATAGGAGGTTATACATGTATACGTTCTTCAGATGATACGGGTAGTTATATGGCATACTCCTGAAAACATCCACTGAGAGAATATCCATTGCATGCTTGACACCTCTTCTAGACGTCTCCAAAAAGTTATCAGATTAACAAGGAAGCGATACTTTATCGACAAACTGCATATAAACCCCGCAACCACTGTAGGTGATAACTCTACACATCAAAGGCGATATCAGCAAATATTGTTATATTAATGCATAACCTCATAGCAAAAGCTGCATGTGATAAACCACGTAATGAAAATTCTTTAAGTTATTTTAGCGTATGACTTAATACAGAAATTTTAACAGCAGAGAAAATCGCCTCGTGCGGATCAACTAGCTTCACGCGCGTTAGACATTATATTCTAATATAGATAGGGTAATAAATTATATGCATCCGATTAAAAAATCGTCTTCATTTCAAGTGGAAAAATCAACAATATTTCATCCTACACATTCCGATCTATCGATCACAAGTTGACGAAGCCTAAGCGATCTAAAATAGGTGGCGTATGACTGAAATTCTTCCGCGTCCTACCTCGATCCAGAGTAAGCGGTTGGACCATTGTCGCCATGGCTGCTGCTGCTGCTGGAGATAAAGCAACAATCTGCAGCATCAGTGGCAACTCCGACAGAGAGAGAGAGAGAGAGAGAGAGAGAGAGAGCTGGAGATGGAGAGAGAGGAGACTCTGTCAAGGGGAGTGGCTGGGCGTCAGCGGCAATTACCTTCTCCTTTGACACCCCCCCCCCCCCCAGCATTTCACTATCTGGTTAAAATTACTGTAAATGTCTCGTGGTGTATCACCAATATCATACGATGGAAATAGCAATAGCGCTCAACATCATATTTATTTTGTGCCACTTACGTTTTAATACTTACTTCCACTATTCCAACTTGCCAAACATCCAAAGCTTAAATCCCTGCTGATGAAGGGTTTGTAGGTAAAACACCCTATTTGTGGATATTCTGGACAGTGAACATCACGCCAGACTCCCAGCTCAGGCTGTATCAGATGTGTTTTCATGAAAGGAGAATGAAAATGGAAATTAATTCCCACACGACGTGATTGTGTTTAACACTAGCTTTATATAAAAGGTTACTGTGTTTTTTTTTTCTTTTGTGTATATGACGCTATTCAGGATCACGTTTTATACATGAAGGTTATTGTATTAGTAGTGTGGTGTATGTGAAATGGCAACAGAGAAATGATTCACCAAGAGCCAAACAGTGAGGTCATCTTGTAACAGTGAGTGCCATTATGTCGTGGGTCTGTCATTCCAAGACAGTGGTCCACAGAGAGACCATGTGTGAGAGCAGACTGCTCAAGGCATTTCACAGTGGGATGGAATATTAACACATCAATCCAGCACTTGCAATAGTCAGCAAACATTTTAAAAGACACATTTTCCATTCATTGAAAGTTTAATGAACCATTCCAAAAAGGAATGGAAAGAAGGCAGTTGTATCCAGACTTTTGGGTATAAATACTGTACAATCAAGTGTAATGCAGGTAGACACAGTCATCTAATTTCATATAAAAACAGGCACTGAAAATATTTGATCTGTCAACTGCAGAATCAAGCAGTAAAGAGATGTAAAATGGCAGCTGGTGACTGGATGTTAAAATGGCTCTGGGCCAGCAGGAAAGAGGCCATGAAGAGATTATTTATTTGCGGCCATATGGGATGTGATGTTGGCCTTGAAAACCATTTTTTGCTCTGAAAAATATTTTAGGCTGGGCATTTCTCTTGGCTTTACAAGTCAAGGAAGCAGAAATCACAACGTTTGAGTTTAGGCAGCAACAGCACCAGGTTATGAGAAAGTGGTTATTTGTTCATTAGCCTAGGACTCTGGGTGACGTGTAAATCTGAAACACACAGGGTCATGATTCACCTTTTTGCTTGCGTGTTCTTTGTTTCTATTGGTCTATTGATTCCCCAATAAGAGCTGCAGTTGCCAAATCCAATAGGAAGTTATTGGAGTAGCTTTGCATACATTTTACATTTGAATCAATTTGTTTTCTTTAAAGGCAAAACAGCAGTTGACGTGCTTATTGGTCACTATGGCTACGTCCGCATTGTGCGTTAATTTAAATCACTAGAGTTGAAAGCAAAACTTCCACGTTAAAAGGCAAAAAGCTCCGTGTAAAAGGCAAATGACGTATCTTACGGTCATACAAATAATTCACTTTAGCATTTGTGTAATTGTATATATTATATATAAATACAATATTATGAGTGATTGTTAATATATATATCATTTTCATTTGCACATTTCTATAATATTTTTTGATGTAGCTCGAGTACAACGTGTAATTTGAACGTTTTTTTGTCCAACCAAAATGTTTTATAATTTTAAAAGTGCCGAAATATATACTTTGAATAATTTATTTTGACTTTGATTAGTAATAAAGTTCAGTTTTTATAAAAGCTTGACTATTGATTGCTCTGACGCACAATGTGTTTCAAGTAAATGCACGTATTTTATTCAGCAAAAGCGAAATGTTACAGCACTGTAGCGTGTACATAAAAGGAAGCATCACAGCAACACGGGGATCTACAAATGTAGTCACTTCACGCGTCTCGTTCTCTTCCCTTCAGTTTCAGCGCACTGAACATTCAATGGCTGGATGTCTTTATTTTAAGCTGGAGCTGCACTTAAACTTGGCTCAGGTAGTCTCGTTTTGAGTTTCACAATAGCTGTAAATGTACAAAAAACACGATTTAGCTACATGCCAGTAAGCAAAACAACATAGGCTATGCCAGGTAGCTAAAGTCTTGGACATCCTCCATGTCCACATGTGGCTTACTTCCGTGAAAACAAAGGCAAAGCATTATTCTTTCCGTTAAGAATAACTGATTAGGGGAACATATATAGGCCTACATTGAAACGAAGAGAGCTAATCGGGAAATAACGACCCAATCGGAGTTCACTGTTGTAGGCGTAACATTTTTTTTACGTTAATGAGCGTCCGCACTAATACGTTTACAGAGGGACTGCGCTGAATTTTTTTGCCGCTTCTGGGAAAAGAGATCTGCGGTAGTGTGGACGGAAGGTTAAGTCGAAGAAAAATGTTCGTGTTACTAAACGAAAACGTATTAGTGCGGAATACCCTATGACTCTTGTCTTTTACTGTCAAATTTTAATTAATATAGGCATACCTTAATACAGTGAAGGCCGTTTGAAGTGATTTCGGTTTTAGTGATCAGCCCACTATATGGATCAAAAAGCTTGGGCCATAATCATTCCCGTACAAATACTTGGTGTATACCGGTCTTGGTCTTGGTCTCCTCACAGAATCCACTTAATTTTGACGCGATCTTGTCTAAGTCTCAGCCATAGAGGAGTCGAGGTTCTATTTCAAGACCAGTCAAGACTTCTGATCAAAATGCCTCAATATTTATCACAATGGCTTAATATTCATCTGTTCGTTAACACTGTGTACTGTGATACTATAATTGTGTGTAAAACATCCTGCTTCAATGTTAAAATGCAACCAATAAGGTGTCGTATTTGAAAAAAAATGTTGCATTTGTACAGAAGCATTTATATAGAAATTTTAAGAAAAAACGTCCAGGGTTCAAATTATACTGTAACACAAATTTTAGGCCATACTGCCTAGTCCCAAGATGGTGCCTGTCACACCCCGCTAGTCCGATTCTCCTGTGTGCCATGCCTCCCTCATTAACCTCGTGTGGAATCCCCCTGTCATCAGCTGTTTCGAGTTGTTTTTCATTAGTTTTGTGTATTTAAATCTGCGTCTAAGTTTATTCCCCCAGTCCTGTCATTGTATTGTTGTGACAGTTCATCCTGAATGCGTCTTCGATTACCTATTAAATCCCTTATTTCCCGATCCGTGCCCCGTTTGTTGTAGCAGTGCCTATGCTCTACATTTATAGTGTGTTGTGTTGTGTAGTTTGTTTCTGATTTTGGGACTTAGTCTAGCCCTGCCTTGATCTTGGTCTTATCTAGGTCTCTCCCTGTCTTGGTCTTGTCTCGGTCTCCGTACACTCTGGTCTTGGTAATGACTCGGTCTCGGTTTAGGTGGTCTTGACTAAATCACTACAAATACTATTTAAATAATTCAGTTTAGTATACCAGCAGTCTGCTTAGAGTGTTCCTTTCGGGTCTTTTTAAGCATGACAACATATGGAAATCATTAAAACTGGTTATTGTTTTTACTTTATTTTACTTTGATCGCCTTATTTTGTCTTGCAGTAACCAGTCTGCATGCACAGAAAACATGATGGATAAAGAAACTCATTTTCTCTCAATGACAAATATAGACTCATCAAAGCTGTGTCCTGCCCCAATCCACTCCTTCCTTGTGCCATACCCCTTCGTTAACCTCCTGTGGATTCCCTGTGTTTACCAGCTGTTTCCTGTTGCTGTCATAGGTCTTATGTATTTTAGTCTGCATTAGGTATGTTTCCCCCAGTCCGGTCATTAAAGTCTGACCTGACCCCTTGCTATCCGATCGAGGGAGATCTTTGAGTAGATCACCCCACTCGATAACTCGCCCCTTACAGAGGAGGTGCAAGCCAACGTGCGGCAACTGAGGGACAGAGTGGCAGACGCCATGATCAGGCAAGTGCACTTGGACAGTGGACTGCCTCTTCCCCAGCCATCCAGACAGCCCAAACTCTCTGTCGCTCCCACTGTGTCAGCTCGGCGGTAAAGGCTGATGGATTGCAAACGGGGGGGGGGCGTGTTAGAAGCCCTTCCGGGATCTGCCGCGGACACCCGACGTCTCCGCAGCTGGCGCCCAACGCCTGCGCAACTGCTACTTTACCTGTCCCAGAGGTAAATCTGCCGGTAGGCTTGCTTTCCCTCACCCCAGCCCCCACAGCCCGTGCCTTCGTGGGCACACGCCTGGCCCAATAAGGTGCCAGGGCTGGCGAGGATGGGATTCCCCGGATCCCCAAGTTCCCCAAGAAGGGGGCGTTGGCTCCAATCCCCATGGATCCTGTGCCCGAGGCTCGTCTGCCTGCAGCTTTGTCTGCACCCGAGGCTTGTCTGCCCGCTGCTTCGTCTGCACCCGAGAACTTCCAGCCCCAGTTCCCCTGGCTCCAGACCCTCCGGCCCTAGTTCCCCTGGTCCTTGACCCCTCGGCTGCAGCCCCCTTGGTCCCTGATCACTTGGCGGCAACCCCACTGGCTCCTGACCCTCCAGTTCCAGTCTCCCTGGTTCATGGTCCTGCTCCTGTGTCCCTGGCTTCCATGGCCCCAGTCTCTGTCCCCGAGGAGGTCCCGGATGGCCTGACCACCACTCCTCCCTCCTTGGTGGCTCTGGAGGAGGAACTCGAGTGGGACCCCTCGGGGATTACCCTAACTGTTCCCTTACACCTCTCTCGTGGAACACCCTGACCGACACCTCGTCATGGCGGATCTAGGTCAGGTCTCTCAGTCTCCTGGAAAGGGAGAGGACACCGACCTCGGGGTCGGCTCCCTGGCTCACCTTTGCTCCCCAAGGCTCCAGCTCTGCAGTTGCCCTCAGCTTCACCTGTGGTGCCTCATTGGCCGGCGGTGACCCTGCCTCCGGCGCCTCCTCAATTGCCTGCGGGTCCCCTGCCTGTGACTCCTTGGTTGCCTGAGCTGGCTGTGGCTGCACCTCTGCCTGCCGCAGCTATGGTTCCTTCCTCCCCTCTGTCA